AAAACAAATGAGCAGCGCCCACAAGCCATTGGGTTGCACAGATTGATATTATGCTATAATCCCCATAAAAAGCAGGTAGTAGATTCACCTACTAAGCTGGCCAATATGTGCCGGCACAGCTGGACAGCCACAGCTAAACCGATCTCAAGGGCATAAGGCTTTGGGAATCCTTCATCCGACTGTGAGCTTGGGACGGATTTTGGCTGGCGCGTCTGGGAAGGAAAAGCTCTGAGGTGCGGTGGGCATTGCTGCACTGATTGCCGTTACACGCTCCTCAAATTTAAATTACCTTGGCTACCCTCTGCTTCCTTGAAGCAGCTGTCAGCCAAGGAATTTTGAAACATGTTGCGGGCTGCGTCCGCAGCGTGGCTGACAGGCAGCTCAACATCTGGGATGTTGACATCCAGGCGACATGCCCTTGGGACGTCAGCCCGATTCATGCAAGGCTGCTCTTTGCTTGCGGTTGGATATATCGTTTCGGCCCGGATGTGCAGTGCCGGCTTTCCTGCCGAGTCCAAGCTCAAGGTCTTGGAGTAGTACGCTTTCACCTCGTCACAGGCCTGGTACTGCATCTGCCCCTTCGTGCTGACTGCCTGGTAGCCAACAACATCGCTCTTCTGCATTACAATGGATCCATTGCTCAAAAGTTGCCGGGCTTCGCGCACAAAGGCATCTGCGCTTTGGCTGTCTGCCTTTATGAAATTGCTGGGCCGCTCTTCGCCACTCATGGCGACTGGAACGTCATTGCTGCTAATCTTGACTCCTTTTGGCAAAGCATCGCCATTCTCCACCCCGTACCTTTGGAGCAATCGCTGTAAATCTTGCTTCACCTCTTGGGCTGCAGCCTCAACTCGTTGCACCATGTCTTTGATGACTTGACCATCGCCCTCCTTGAAGATTCCGGCAGGCTCCGCTGTGTGCCTTGCCCAGGCCTCTGCCATTTCCAGTGTCCTCATATGCCTCTCGCAGGCATGCCCAGTTTCAGGAGTGTCCTGTGCAAAATATGGCTTCAGTACCAGCTTTAAAATTGCCAGTGGGTTGACCATGTTTAAACCAATGGCCCCACCCTAGTCCTGAGCGTTCAGCGACTTCTTCCGCCAAGCGCCTGCGGTGTCCGTTCTGGGCAGCGCAGGCCGTGGCTGCGCTGCACGCGCTGGAGAGCGCAAGGTCCACGCTGAGGGTGACCAGAAGTTGGCGTCCGATATTGCCAGTGTGATGGCCTGCTCCGTTGTTCAGTGACCCTGGAAAAAAAGGGAACCCTGTTTGGGGAAGACCATTTTCAGTGGGGCATCCAACAAAAAATGGAAAAAGGGTGCCACTGAACAACTGAGCCTTGAATGCCCATTGGGCTTCATGTTGTCTGCGAGCTTCCTGGCTGCCTGCTTGGAGCTGCTTGCGACGTCATCCGCCACTTGGCCCGCGTTCGCGCCTGGAGAACAAGCTGCTGCAACGCCTTGCACCGCTGCCCCAGCCGCAGCTCCAACTGCCATGCTACAGCCCCAGTGCCACGCGTTCTCCCCGGACAATACAGCCGCTTGCTCTTGCCCATCAGGCTGGCAGCACCGCAAAATCCCCCTGCTCGACTTCAGCGCGGCCTCGAAACTCTGTGCCCTTTGCGTTGCCCTTGCTAGCAAAGAGCAGGAGAGTCTGTTCTCCAGTCTTGCGGGCCCAGAGATCCCGTCCATCCGGTTCACAGATCTCGTCTTTGCTGCCGGTCAAGTTGTAGAATCTCAGTCGCTGGCCGGTGAGGCAGCGGTGCGGGTTTTGCTCTGTGGTGATTTCGAAATGACGCGCCCCCGGGCCGTTGCCATCCGCAATTGTCTGAACGGTCAACTCGTTGTACCAGAGGGCCTTCGTTCCATCACACAAGTCGGCGACATCAGAGATGGCATTCCCAGCCGCAGCCGTGGATGCACCGCTCAGGGCCGCCCCCCACTGCAACAGCTGTCTTCCCAGCTTCCATGGCGGGTCCAATCAGACCAGCCCCGAGGCCTGCGCCGATGGCACCTCCTGCTGCACCCTGGAGGCCACCGACCAGGACATGTTTTCCAAACTTCGACCAAGCATGATCCGGATCCGCATATTGCGCGAAGCTGCGCTTGATGCCTGTGCTGAGCCACCAATGCTCAAACCAAGCCCCCAGTCCTGCAGTGGGAGCGGCTGAGCAAAGCCCCAAGATAATCATCGCCACGCCACCCAGGACCATGCCCGTGCAAAGTAATCCTCTGACCAGCTTTTGATCCCAAGGAAGCTCGTGCAGCCCCAGGGCCGTCCTCAACTCATTGTCGTAGTTTTCCTTGAGCTGGGGATCCTCCAAAACACCGGCGGCGGATTTGGCACTGTGACTCTTTGATCTTCGCCTCATCATCAGAAAGCTCGTGGTTCTGGCTCAAGTCGGGATGAACACGGTACTTTCTGTGGCATTCCCGTTTTTCTCTTGCCACCTCTGGGCGTGAAGGGCTCGAGAAGCGTGCAAAGCCAAACAACGTATAGTAGTCCTGCGATCCAGCAAAGAATTCCGCCTTCAAGTCCTCAAGCTCAGCGTGGACTATCTGGAGCTTGGAGTTGCACGCATCGCACTCGTCTCTGTCCTCCACTTCCACAACCAAGACTTTGCTGCAGAACCAAGCAGGATCCCCGCCCAAAACACGGTTCAGGACGCGGATTGTGCCCCTTCGCAGCACGAGGTCGCGAACCGTTGACGTCACGATCTTGCCGTTCTTTGCGGTCCACTCGTTGCCAGGCACACCGTACCAAGCGCGAATGACCAGCTGCGTGCCTGGCACCTCCAAGGAGGAGCCTTCTTTTGCGCGCAGCTCTGGCATGGCTAGTGAATAGTTCTGTGGGGGACCGACGAAGCACACCTCCCGCTCAAGAGAACTGGCCTTGACCCCAAGCTTCGCGCTCACGTGGATAGCACGCATCTGCTTTGGAATCAGCGCAAGCTGCCACACCACACCCCATGAAGTTGCAAGGCCACAAAGGTGTTCGATTTTACTGGGCACACAGTTCCAAGCTGTTCATGAATTGCAATGTCGCTAGCAACAGACCCAGCAACAGCTTGACCATTGGGTCATGGGGCATCAATCCGTGCCATGTCAAGGCCAAACTCCTCACTTTGAGCGAGCCCATGTTACATATCCGCGCGAATCAAAGCAACTTGAATGCACGGTCTGGGAGTTAGTTCTGTGGTAACCCCGGTTGTAACCAAATTGCCATGTAAGTCTCAAAGGTTACTAACCCTTCAGCTAGGTCCCACACCTAAGAAGGCCTAAGCCTTCGGGTCCTCCACGGACTTCTGGTCTAAGATTCTGATCGGCCTCTTGCGGCTGCCAAGGAAACCGCAGACGTGGAACTTTGCATCGGAATGAAAAGCACCGGCTGTGCAAACGTGGCAAGCCAGTCTTGAAATGAGCCCCAGTCGGTTTTTTTTTGCGGCTCAGTGAGTCAGCCCCCCGTGTGTGTTCTGGTTGACAATTGCTGAGTTCCCGAATCCATGTCCCTCCCAAATGGACCGTAGAGACCGAAGATGTCCGCCCGAGTTCAACAGGGTCACTGAATCGAAAGGGGACCTAACAGGTGTCGGCCATTCTTCTGGGCTGCCAGATCGCCTTCTTAAAGTCTTCTAGCTGCTAGGGTTTCAATGGAAACCCCCACTAAACCCTAGAAACCTGAAAACAGGGGGATGCCTGAAAAGCCGCCAAGTTGCGGGAGTTTCCCACCCAGGCTGGGTTTTGCACATGTGCACCGGGCAAAAGTTGGCGCCGAGGCTTGGGCATGGTCCGAAGCCTTTTGGCCCATGAAGCTTCCAGCGCTTGAGCCGACCGATGCGGCGTCGGGACGGCGGAGCTCGCGACTCCGAGCTCGGGAAGCGCCGGGCCCAAGCGCGAAAAGGAGTCGACGCGACAGTCGACGCGACAAACACATCAGACATGGACAAGTCCAGGCATGGTGAGTGTGATTGAATACGGTTGCTGTGTGGATGTTGCATGACCCTTCCATCCGAGAAAAAAAAAAAGGATCCACTGGATTGAGCAGGCTCATTCCACCACATTCCAAGCTACTGAACTTGTGGCTTTGCTGGCTTTGCTGACTAATGGGAACCCAGAATGAGCAAGCCCCTGGACCCCTGGGTGATGAATAGGAGAGAGGGCCCGCTACTGACAGGGTCTAGTGGGAAACCCTCCGGGGAATCAATCATTGCGCTTGACACACCTAAGACTAAAAGGGGAGCTTGTATTTTTGCGGTGACAGATATGCAAGGTTCTATTTGGATCCGGTGTTAACGACAAAGCCAACATTAGGATTAGGATTCCCACTAAAGGAAAGCCACTAACATGGAAAGCCACCAACAGACAACATCCCAAGGAACGCAAAAACGGCTTAGCCACCAAAGAATCACTCAAAAGGAAAGCCACTCCAAAGCAACGCTTTAAACAAGCCAGTAAAGTTAACCCCAGATTAACAAAAAGCCTTGGTTGATTATTTGGGGTTGTCTCCGTTTTAGTAGGGATTGACTCCCTTAAAAAAAAAGGACCGGTTTATTCATCTGGGGTTAACATTTCGTGTTAGACCCAACCATGTTGACAGATCTCCTCTTTTGCGAAGACCCATCTACAGACAACTTGATTTGCATAATTCTAAGAACCCATCATTTCTACAGTAAATCTTTGGGCAAGTAAGTGCCTGGAGTCTCCATGACCCTTAAAAAATGGGGTCATTGCCCAAAATAATGGGGTCATTCACCCATTTTTAAAGGGTCAGAAGGAGACTTCAGGTGCCAAGTCGAAAACTTGATCCATACCCTGAAACTGGTGCTTGTGTTGGTAGATGAGCCATCCTTTCTTCTTTTTCGGGCAAAGTGGTGAACATGGCGGCGTAAATTTGGGTCATTGACCCACTTTTATTTCGGGTCAGAAGGAGACTCCAGGTATTTTCCGGAGCTGGGGGTTCACCAATTGCCGCACATCCCATCGGATCTCTCGGATTCGGATTCTCGCCTCCTGCCGCTCGGCGGCGAAGCCTTTGGCCAGGCGCCGCACCGCGTCCGGCGCCAGCTTGGCCACCTGAAGTCGTCCAAACGGCTTCCACGCGTCGACGCGCTTACCCAGGTCCTCCAGACTTGAGAGGTTAGAATAAGTTGGTACCCTTTTTTTGTCTTTTTTTTTCTGTAGTCTATTTTAGTAGATTTTCTGAGTCTATTTTAGTAGGGGAACCCCCCCCCCCCCAAAAAAAAAAGGGGAGAGAAGGGCACTACTGGGGGACCTAGCTACTTTGTTGCTGTTGGCTCTGCAAAAAGTTGTTCACTTTTTGTGGGTTTAGTGGAAAACCCAACTTCATTTCCCCCAAAAGTTAAAGTATAAATATCCAACCCGATAGCAGTCAAGCTTATGGTCGAGGAATCGCCGTGGTTGGCTTTGCTCTGGTTCTAACCCACCAAAGCCATGGTTGTAAGTCCCCCAAAGCCAGGGTTACTAACCATTGAAAGTATGTGCGCTATCCTTTACATGGGATGACTGCATTGGTTGGAAAAACAAAAAATGATTTGATATGTCAACCACATGGGAAAGTTACCCATGGTCCTTTGGGGGCAGAAGGAAATATTGATCAACCGCCATGCGTGCTTCTCAAAAATTAAGCCCCAAACAGGTGGCTGTGTTACTTTGGGTTTCTTTCCAAACGATACCACAGGGGGGGGCATAATTTGAGAAACCCCCAAATATACCAATGACACCAGGTAATAGAACCGCCTAAATGCACGTGTGGGGCTTTTTCGGACCCCTTTTGGAGGTTGCTTTCCGTTGGGCTTCCACTTAAACTGTCCAAGGGGTTCTAGTCCTAGGCGACTTGCACCAGGGCAAGGGCTAAGCATGTAGCAAACTTGGTCAAGGCGCGCCAAATTTGGGGCTGGCCATCCTAAAACTGCCCCTCAGTCCAAAGCAGTGGGGTGAGCTTCGCCAGCGTTTACCAACCTGCAATCCCGAGGGATACCACTTACATTGAGCCGAATGGCCTCCTTAAGCATGTACGGGGAGCTCCCATACGGAGTCCTCTCAAAACGGCCGGTTTTCCAGGTTGTTTTTCCTTTACGCACACAAACACAGCTACAGGAATTTCTCCAGGAATGGACCAAATACCCACCACAAAGCATTGACTGTAGACATTGTGGTTTCTGAGAATTACACAAATCAAGTTGTCCATAGACTGGTGTTTGAGAGCTGTTGGTTCCCAGTACATCCAACAAACCGCCCCTCCCATTTTGGGATACCTTCGCCATATTTCAACACATTGGGGGTTTCCGAACAAATAGGGGTTCTCCAAACACCATTTGATTCCTACTGTGGATGGTTGCGAAATCGACTTGGCACCACCTAAGAAATGCTGGTTTCTGATGATCCCCTGTGAATTCCACAAACAAGAGCTTCCCATTGTTCCAATTTGGTGCCGGATGTCTTCCATCCACATGGTAGTATACAGTATTACGGGTTCCCTTTAGTCCAAAACGAAACAGGAAGTTGAGAGCCTCAGCTGAAAGTGGGACTAGATTACGAGCGCTTCAGTTCGCGACGCAGGGCCAAGCCAAAAATCGTGTTTCGCCCGCACAATTTTGGCACTTTGAGTGGCACCATTGTGACGACGCAATTGGTCAAAACATATCCTTTCAAGACACCAAACAGGGACGGACATGGTAGTTTGCTTTTCCAGAACCCCTGTGTCAGCACCCAGTTGTGCTAAGGCTGGATTCATCAATCTGGTGGATTGGCAGGGTTCCCCAAATTGTGGGACCCTTCCTACCAATGAACCAGGGGTTTTATTATGGTTTATTTGTCCTGAGTTCTCATGTTGTGCCGAAGAGGCAGAAAAAATAGGCGTCGGCCTTCTCCTCAACCAGTACTCTATGAAAACTGCCTGCTGGCCTCCAAGGGTTAGGGTCCCCCCCTAAGGTAAATTGAAAATCCCTCAAAATGTGCATGTTCAGTTTGATCGAAATCCCAAACCCACGTTTTGCCCGCGCTCGCTCACAAAACGCGCGGTGCCTCCTCCTGGTAGTGGCCGATGATCCACACCACCGAGGCCCTCGCTGTTGGCGCCGTCAGGTCCTGTTTGGACGCCAGAGTCCCGAGTTGTGGGAAGTCTTTTTTGGCCATGGTTCGCTATCATCTGCAGCGCGCACCCTTGGCACTAGCCTACTGTGAGAAGTCTGGAAAAAACCACCCCCAAACACTTTTGGTTTTTTAAAAAGAGACACCCCCACCCCTCAGGAAAGGTGCTTAGAACCTTCTTAGCAAGGGTTCTTAGCAGTCTTGGAACCTGCCTGGGAGGCAATGGGGGCCGCCCTACTGTCTCTTCTCACAAAACAAGAGAAATAATCGAGATTGTGCTCTGGGCAACAACAAGTCATACTCACAACAGGGCTTTCAAGAAGTGAACCCAACAACCATGGCGAAACATCAAAAGGCCCGCTTTTGCCCACGCGGGTGCATGCAGTAACAATGTCGCCGAACTTCATCCGCTTCTGACTTGCATGTCGGACTGCTTCAACTTCTTGTCCTCCAGGTAAGTCACAAGGTGTGGAAGCACGCTTCCCAACCTCGCGGCAAGAGAGCGGCAAGGTCGGAAGATCACTCAACGCACTGACTTCAGGGTGAACCACCCGGTCTGATACCAAAGCGGTTGATGACCATTCCCACGAGTATCTTGAACAGATTCCCTTGATATTGCAGAAGTAGCATCAAGGTCCGATTTCCGCACCCGGAGTCCACTATTGCGTCTCCGCACATATTGCCTAACAGGAAGGAAAGGCGAGAGGTGCTGCATTGCCATGATGTACACGGCATTGAAGCTGGACAAAGTGAAGTTGTGCTGGGCTTCAAGTAATATCCTCGAACTTACATCGTGGTTGAAAAGGACACCACGCCCAAAGTAATGTTGAGAACCCCTCAGCTGCAACCATCGGAAGGCGCGTTGTGAAAACTCGGCCGCTCTGAGACTCTGAGACTGCGGCCCACTCTCTTTCTTGCTGTGCCGTCGTTGAAGCAAGGCTCTCAGGGAGACAACTGCCTCCCATGGTCGATGCAAGACGCCCGGGGCGGGGCGGCCATTCTTTTTTGAACCCCTGGGGAGCAAATCCAGAAGTCGGGTTGTTCAAAATATGGTCCACTGGTGAGTATTCTCGAAATTAGCGGCTCCAGGTGGTTTCCCTTTGGACCTATTCCCCCTTATTTTGAGACACCTTTTAGGCGTCACACCATGTCACCGGGGTCCCAGAAAGGCCCCTTCTTGGCAACCTGACAGCAACTGCATCCAACGCTCTTAGCGTTAGAAGGCCTAGCCGAAAGCTGAAAGCTGGTCACTTGCCGGAAGCTGAACTACCTGGCTTCGCCCTAAGGCATGTTGCCGTTGCTCAGAATGGCCAGGAACAAATGACATATTCATATCTTTAGTATGTATATGTATATATATATATATATGTATATATATATGTATATATATATAGGCTTCCTAGATGCATTCAACAGCTTGATAGCCGTTAAAACACATTTGGGTGGTCGCCCTGACGACCCTTCCGTGGACCTCTTTTGCTGGGGATTTGTGTCCATTCACTTTCGAAGGTATTCCAACCATGAAAATACATTTCCACGTGGCTTGACAGAACAGGTCTTGTGTGAGATTCCAATTTGACCTGATTTCATGCTTCAGTTCTGAGACGTCTTTATGCTGACATATACCACTACTTGATAGTTGAACAGACTGCAGCTTGTGGTCTTCCGTTCAATGCCTTTGCAATCATTAAACAAAACAGGAAAAACAGGAGAAACAAAAAAACACAAGCACAAACAAAACAGCTTATGGTGCTTACCCTCCGACACCTGGTTGAATGGCAAACCGAACACCAACCACACACCAAATCGTATCTTTCCACAATTACCATTCTATCACTGCCGTACTACTTTGGATGGTCAAAATCCTTCACCAGTTGGTGGGTGGGATTCTCCAGTATTCACAGGGGTCCCTCCATCTCAACTGCTGCAGCATCTCCGTCTGCTTAAGTTCCCGAAAAGAGAAGAGAAAAACATGTCCAGTAGTGATAGATGCCCACTTCCAACCCACAGGAGAGAAACATATCCTTAAGCAAACTGCAGATTCTGTCCATCAGTCAGTCACGCAGGTTCCCGCTTTTTCGGCCCCAAGGGAGCTGTCGCGCTGCCCGGCCTCGCAAGAGAGGGCCTCGCACTTGGAGTCCAGCCTGGCTTGAACAACAAAATACATCCAGCACCCCCCCCTCCCCAACCACTGCTTCCTAGACCGTACCAACAAACTGGGAACAAAACCGATGCTTGGGGGTGCTGGATCTTTCCTCGGAAAACCTTAAGTTGGGTTGTTCTTTGACCCAATGTAAGCCCGATGTTATTCATTGCTCCAACAAAATGGGATTCCTGGGCGGATCCAAGGGAACATTGCGGACATTTATGGAGGGTTCATTGATGGACAATCTTCCCGTACACAATTGGATCCGTTCGCCTTTTTAAAGGCTACCGCAAAGACACCCGTTGTCCTGGGGACAGTAAGCCCCCTTTCCGAATGGCAATTACGTAAGCGTACCCAATGCCATCCCCTTTGCTCAGATGATGTGTGTACATATATGTATATATATAGATGGGTATGGCTCAAAAAACCGGTACCAAAATGGAACCCTGGTAAGTGGAAACATGGACCAAAACCTGCGTAACCCTAGCTCCTTAATTTTGAGCCACTGCCATATTTGAGCGTTGCTCGTATAGCTTCCCCATTGCAAAAACGATCCAGGCAAGTTCCCCCTTCCGGCAGTTGCGCCTGTTCATTTCCGATTGCCTAGGGAGGATTGGGCGTGTCTCAAGGGAACTTCCCGAAATGGGTGGCTTCCTTTTGGTTTCCCTTTAAAACCATCCACAAAGCCATCAAGCAACGTCATACCCAGTTGCCAAGAGCTCTCCAAAGAAGTCATTCCACATCCGCAGGTCATCCTGATGTCGTGCAAATCTCCAAACAGTTCTCAGTGGCTCCCTGGAGTACACCCTCTGGACCAAAGGCCTATTGCTTTATAGCCAGCTTACTTCCAAAACAATGAAGCTGTCCATTCGACAACAAGACACAAATCGCCAAAACCGGGGGAGAAATAATGTAGTACCTACAGTGCATGTCGAGCAACTTCCTTGGCTCTAAGACGCCGGCACTTTTTCTGGGGAACCTCAAACTGAACCATCCAAACAGGTCTCGCTTCCGGGTCCTTCTTTTACGGCCCCGAAATCGATTTCATAGGGCTTCTGGGGGATTTTGTTTGGGACCCCCCCCTACCATAGGACTGAGAATATAACCGACCGCGCAGCTCAAAGCCCCGCTTCATTTGAGACTTCCCTGCAGATTCAGAACACCAAGGAATTCTGTGCCATCTCATGTTGAGGTGTTTCCCCATTTTGAGGAGTGATGTTGCAGAGTTGCGACTTCTTTGCCCGCAGACTTCCCCTTGCAATCAGCGCCAGCGTTGCATCTTCACCAGGCCACGAAGGCACGCGTCAGCCACCTGCGTGCGGGCAAAGGAATCTCTCACCTGTCGAGGGATTCGCCCACTTGAGCCTCATGGCTCTTGGCATCAAATCTTGAGACCACAGATCGGCACCCACTGTCAAATATTAATTGAAACATACGTAGCATTTACCAGAGGTTCTTTGGCTTGACGTGTCATGAAAAAAGGGACCAAAGCACGCTTCTGGACGAGATCAGTCCCAAATGTGCTCAAACCAAAGCAGTTGCAAGAAATGGCGCGCTCAACAGCCGTAGTGTGTCGACACCTCCAATCATGCTCACCCAAACCTCCAGCTGTAAGGAGGGACACAAATGCTCTGTTCTTTGCTTGCTTGATTTTGAAGGAAAGTCCATCCACGTTGAAGGCCCGGGCTCAGTGCATAGTTTTTGCCTCTTTGCGCGTTCTCCGCTCTACGGTCGAGAGCTCTTCGAGCTGAATTGGAACAATGGAGGGTGTCACGAAGTGCTGGCTTTGGACCTTACAGCACCCGTCTCGTCCCTGGATAAAAGACATGCGCATGTCTCGTGCATTTAGAGTTTGTAGTCCTTGAGTTTCAAAGGACATGGTGTATTGTCTGGGGTGTGCAACCAAGGCTTTGAGCATCCCATAAGATTGCATGCTCACAACAAGTGTGTGCTATGGGCAGTGCTCTAAAGACCTTGGCACGAGTTCCAAAGAAAGCAACGCCTTTTGTGGGGTTGGCCATCTTTAAGAGGCTTGGAGCAACCCTGATGGGTCTTGCTCTGATGCTCTTGATCGCCTTGCTGACATCTTTGCTTTCAACTAGTGACCCCATGCGTTTCAAAAATCAGAAGTGGGCTCTCCCCCAAGTGGCCATGAACGCGCGAGGTAAAATGTCGCTGTGTCCAACGGGTTCCCAATTCAAACTCATCACATTGGGCACTGGAGCCAAAATGGCATCTCCACTTCGGGAAACCCAGTGCTAACCCCGGATTAATACACCCCTGGTTGATTTTGATCGGGGGGTGACCCCTTTTAGTGGGGATTCAGACCACTTTTGGAATAATGGGACGGGTTTATTGATCCCGGGTCAACACTATTCTATTCTCGCCTGGCCAAGGAGCCTTTTGAACTTCGGTGAACTGTTTGGGACCAAAAAGAAACACCCAGCAAGTCAAAGGGTCCATTCGCTTTGGACTCAGCGTTTCCCACGATCGTTTCCTAACAACGAGGTGATGTTTTCTTAAATGAATTTGAAACCAACAAATGGGGAAGGGGTTCCCTATTGTAGGCCCTCAACTGAGTCTAACCGGTTTGATGGGTGCTGTTTGGCCTTGCCATCATTGCGGCCCCTTCTTGCTCAGCCCCGCTGAAGCGATGCCAGAGATTTCGGACCTGTGTGCGGGAAGTCGCAGCCGTAGTTTCTTATGGTCAGACCGCCAAAATGGGATACCCTTCCTCCCACAAACATAGCATTTGTGGAAGGGTTCCTGGAAGATCAGCTCCTCTGTCAGGTGCCATGTTAGTGGGAGGGAGGGGTTCCGACTACAGGTCAAGGTGAAATGTGTTATAGTCGATGTTGTCTTTATAGTTTGTTTGCACCAAATGTTTCCTGTGTATTGACCATGGGTGTGTACCACTGCCGCGCAGACACACGCACACACATTGAAATGGATGCGGATGATTCACTCAGCGATTGTCGCAACATTCATAGAGCCATCCGAAAACTCTGACAACTAACATGACAGCGCTTCCGAATGCCCAACAATGTCAACGATCGCATGCTACAGCATTGCTTTCCCGAGTCAAGCTGAGCATACCACCCTTCTGCTGGATAGTACCTAAATAGCGCCCCTTCACTCACCAGGCAGCACGAACTTAGGCCGACACGAGTCACCAGCAAGGCTGTTGTATGGTCTGAGCGGGTGATGCACTCACCCCCCAAAAAATGAATTTGGACAGCCAATCACTTGGTTCTGCCAAAATGGATCACCGATTCATGTTACCCTCAGAACTGGTTGGCAGGGCCTGGCACTTCTTAAGTACTTGGACGGTGTGGGAGGAATCGCTAAGTGGTTAGCTTTGCCCTGTAACCCACCAAAGCCATGGTTGCAAGTCCCCTAAACCCAGGATTACTCGCCATTTGGCGAAGTCCCAAACCATCGAAGTAAGCTTATGCGCTCGTTGTTTCGAGGCTCGGAGCAATTTGAGTGCCAGGGTCAAGTTCCGGCGCACTGCACTCCCAACTCAACTCAGGCCCGGACAAACGATGCACGGCGGGCAAATGCAGCATGCTGCTCACGTCGACGGCGTTACCCTACTATGGTCTCAGGTGAGTGCAATAACTACACAACCGACCAGTGGCTTCGTCGTGTGTCTGCATTGGACTGCCAATTGAATGATTTGCTCAGTGCCCTTTGATTGGATCCGCACTTTCCTGTTTCCTCCCTTTGACGTTGCCAGGCCACACCGGCAATCCCTGTTCCACAAACGCGCTCTTAGCTGCTGCCTGCATAACTGGCCTGAACCTGCATAACTGCCCTGAACCTGCTCTCTCTCAATGACGCCTTCAAATATCCACCTGAAAACCAAACATCAGTGTTAGTGAAATCTCCGAACAGAAAGGTGTCAGCCAGGTTCCAGCAAAAAAAACCTTTTGTGCAATCACCAAAGGATCGAGGCCTTCAACTCACAACGAGCCAGAATATGTTTTCTGAGTCGGTGTCTGTACAGGAGAGCCATGCACCTCTGAGAGACATGCTGCCGAACTCAGGTGATGGAACTCGTGTGCCATGAGCCCAAGACTGTTGGCTCCGAGAAGGGCTTTCCCGTCTTAGCTACTTGCAGGAATGGGTTCTCGAATGAAATCCATGCCATGAACCAGGGTTTCGGATCCAACTGCCGGTTCGAAGTTCTCGCAAACCGACTGCTGTCCCTCAGAGGTTGTGTCAGTATAAGCATATAGCGTCACTGTAACTCCGCCATCGTCAGCCAAGCAGCAGTCTGCACGCGGAAAGCTGACGATGCAGCCGAGCGAGACTGCTGTGCTGGACAAGCTTCCGTCCAGTTCTGAAGTAACAAGTATTTGTGCCCATGCAACGGCTGCCTGCTCCTTCAGTGGTGGCTTTCTGCCTGGTGCTGCCATTCATATCCCCAGCGCCTCAAAAGTTCAAGACAACTGCAAGCTGAAACTGGGTCCAAAGTGACATTCTCAAAGTTACCCGCTAAACAGAGGTCGAAAAAAGAAACAACAAACAACTCCAGGTTGTTGAGAACCGTGACGTGCAAGGCAGCAAAGCACCAGCCAGGTTCCCACCACCATCGGCAACGTCGAGAGCATGTCAAGCTACGGCCGCATCCGAGGAGATGGCAATCAAACGCAGCATACATGTGTGCGTGTGCGTGTGTGGGTGTCTGTCTCAGTTTCTGTCTCTGTCTCCTGTCTCCTGTCTCTGTCCGTGTGTCTTTTCTTAAGGGTGCCATTTTTAAGGTTGGTTAGGGCAACCAACAGGACAATTACAATTCGTTCATGTCTAATATGGGAACACACTCGCAACTGATCCAAACACTTGGGAGCCTATGGCTTCATGGAACCGAGTCCACCCAACTCTCCACTCATCTTCTGATGCGGCGGACGGCACCCGACTGCACGGCCGTGGAAAATAAAAACACAAAAATCCGCTCCGAGAGCGCCAGCCTTTTGCAACGACGCATGCCTCAGCGCGCAAAGAGCATGTCACAAATGAGGCATAAGCACACGCGGTTGCTGGGCACAGAGCGAAATTCGGAACCCTTGTACATGAATCCCCTTCTCAGTTCCTGAGTGGAACTGGCCTAAAATGGTCCAGCCCCAAAGAGTGACGAAAGTCCGAAACGGAACTCAGGCTTAGGGAGCCTTAGAACAAAACAGAAGTAAAGGAACTCAGGAAGGGAGCCTTAGAACAAAATAAACACCATTGATATGCGGGACCTTCGACATGGACATTGATTTGGATACCCTTCGGTGGACAATAAACAAAAGAAGCACTTAAGTGAATGTATGCAGCCACTATCGCCGAGGGTATTCCAACCCTTAGCCAACTTCCTGAGTGGATTGGCAACAAGCAGTCACTTTCTTGCCAATCAATTCCTCTTCCCGAAGCAGACAGTCCAGGAACTCAGGGAATGAGTTCAACATGGTGACCTGGCGGTGGCTTAAACACACGGTACCAAAATGAAACCCGACGTGGAAACATGGACCAAAACCTGCGGTTTGCCCCTCCGATCGTTTCATTTTGAGCCACAGCCACCGCACAGACTTTGCAATCCGGCGGCTTCCCTACCGCTTTGAGAAACTGAGGCCCTGGCAAGAGTATCTATATCAACCGCGCCTGAGCGCGCGGGAAAGTTGAAGATATCGAATCCCAGAGCCAGGGGTGGCAGCTTCTCGATGCCCCTTTTTGAGGCTATTCCAAAGAGAACCCAAGGGAAACCGACCTGTTCCCTTGGGGTGGCTAGGAACGCCTTCTGAAGCTGAAACCGAAGGTCTCGGGCTGGCTTGGTCTTAGGCGAAGGCCGGGGCTCAACTCGCCGGCACCAAGATATTGTCCAGAAGGCGGCAGGTGCGATGGCCCTCCTGACGTTGAACTTGAAACTCCGAACCCAAAATCTTCGTTGCCGAAACCCGGCTGACGGAAAACATGATGAAGACCCGAAGAGGGCGGGAGGGCGGGAGATACAAGTATTCATTCACAGAAAAGATCAGCTTAACCTGATGTGTCAGCTCACAACTACCTAGAGTCTCCATGACCCTTAAAAAAGGGGTAATTACCCAAAATCATGCGGTCATTGACCCATTTTTAAAGGGTCATGGAGACTCCAAGTACAATCTCAAGGACCTCCGATTGAACCCTACAGGCCTTGTTGATGGCTTGTCCTTTTCTCATGTTAGACAGCCCCCCAACCCCCCCCCCCCCTTGGAGATCAATGCCAAACAAAGTGCCCCTGTCCTTCCTTCACAACTACTACACAGATGCACAACCTGCAGATTGCACACCTATTGCCACAGTTTCCCTGAGAATAACCGCTACGTTGTGCTTGTGATCCAAGCCCAGCTTTACAAGGTTCATGATTGCCCTTACAGAAAGTCAGAATCAACATCTAAGGCTCTAAGGCTGAGTCTACCCGAAATGTACTGAGTCGCGGATATCCGCACCTTCTGCTTCCATGCCTTCTTCTGCTTTGATGGCTCAAGTGATCCCAGCCATATTCAGTGAACATTCAAGTTCAACTGCAAACAAAAACAAAGATACCCAAGGTCGTGTGTTCCCTTGCCCACAAGCAACAATAGATGCAAGAGCCTGGTCCATATTTAGTGAACAACAAAATGCAAAGAAGCACATCTAACAAGATCCCCGGTTACTTTTGCACCGTCCATCGACCGGACATGCGTTGGCCAAAACATAGGCCTCCTTCATCACGCAGCAAATGCTCACCACGGAGTTGCCGAGGTCCGCCTAGGTCCATCAACTATCAAATGGCAAATGATCAAACTGGGCGTTTTTCAGAAGGGGTCTGGCACAATCAGACACCGCGGGAGCTTTGGGTAGGGAAACCGAGCAGACACCGCCCACTTGAGACACTGAGCAAAACCCACGTTGCCCTTTCGGAGGAGCTGGCGGAGCTGAGTGACACTCAGTTGCAGCAAGGGTTCCTCCAGGATCGACTTAAACTCAGGGAGGCTTCCCACAAGGAGAACCCCTGGGTTTAAGTCCATCCCAAAGTCATCAAACAGTGGAACCCTCAGTCGCAGATTTACGGGCACCCAATTTCTGACTTCGGGATGTCCATACAATCGCCTCATCATCCTTCTCGTTCATGAATTTCGTGTCTGCCACCGAAATGTAGCCTCGGCCGGCAAATGGGGATTTGGATCCATCCCAAGCGACCAATGCCTGGAGTCTCCATGACCCTTACAACATGGTTGGTCATTACACAAGTAATGAAAACATTGACCCATTTTTGAAGGGTCATGACCTTCTAGATTCTAACAGCAGGTCCCAGCTTGCACTAAGGAGCAATCATGTGTGTAGCATGTTAGAACCCATTTGCCAAGCCCATTTAGGGTCAATGGCTTCCAGTGAAAACTACTTTGTGAAGGACGTCTCACGAGAACTGGCCATTCAAAAGCAAAGCAAGGACAATCACTACAACGCGGATTCAAATGGATTCATGACTGATTTTGACCATCCCGCGAAAGCAGCAGCATAGCATCTATTTGGACAAGTCTCCTGCTTTTGGATCCAACGTCCCTTTGAGTTGTAATCAAAACCTGGTACTGGAGGAATCAAACGGCAAAAAATCGCACCTGAATCTGGCAAGGGGATTTCCCTTACAGACCTTCACTTACCCGGGTGTTGATTGCTCACCGAAAGCTTGGCAAGGCGACTGCCCTGAATTTGTGACTTGAAGACTTGCGAGCCGTATTTTACATTATCGTGCTCTTCTTTCCAACATCAAATTGCACACACACACACACCCACACCAGGGCTTTTTAAATACCTCCTTTTGGTTGCCAATTCATATAAAGTAGTTGGTATCGTGTTTTGGCTTCCCCTTTCAAAAAAAGCTGGAAAAAGGGAACCCTCACAAAGAAAAGGCACCACAAATCGTTGTCGTTACCCCGCCCTACCCTCACCCCCCCCCCCCGCCCCAAACACACGCACACACACACACACACCCTCCCTTTCCCGCTCCAAACACACACGCACAAACAAACAAACGAACAAACAAAGGAACAAGCAAACAATCAAATAAACAACCACCAATCAATCCAATCCAATCCAATCCAATGCAATCCAATCCAATCCAATCAATCAATCAACCAATCAATCAACCAATCAATCAATCAACCAACCAATCAATCAACCAATCAACCAACCAACCAATCAATCAACCAATCAATCAATCAACCATCCAACCAAACAAACAAACAAAACACAACCACACACACACACACACCTGGTTTGGTTCTCATTTGCCCTGAGAGGCCGGCTCACCTCCAAGCCTTGACTCTCCAAGTCCTTGCGCACCGACCTCCGGACCTCGCAGCGATGTGTCGTTTGAGTCCCTGCTTGAGATCAATTGTATAATTTGATATACACAAAGTATCATGAAATATATGATGACTTTTTTTCTAGTATGGTATTTGTTTTGACATATTTTGAAATTATAATTCGGATGTTGTATGAAATTAGGTGAGGAAAACCAAAAGAAGACCACCCACGACTGTTGGTCTCCCTATATTGACACAATTTCCATATCCATGCGCCGTATCAGGCTAATTCCCCCCCCCAAAAAAAAAAAAAAAAAAAAAAAAAAAAAAAAACAAGCATGAAAAGGAACAAGATCTGGAGGAAACGGGTCTTGGGGTCTTTTTTCCTTTTCCATGCCTGACAAACCAATGCCTCAAGAGGGGGACCCGGGCCAAAAGGCCCTGAAGCTTGGGGAGACTTGGATGGGCTTGGGATTTTTTGGACATCAGACATACCTGGGGTTTGATAGCCACATAGCGCATACATTTAAAAAAAAATGCAAGCGATGCAAATTCCCCCCATGTCCTTGGAAAACAACTTCCGAGCAAAAGGGAGCGCTGAAGCAAGCACCTGCTATCAGTGTATGAACCACAGGACACCAGCCATTTTTTGGAGTGTTCTATTTTAAGAGACACCCACAAGGATCTCTCAACCATAGAAGCCACGGGCAATATGTACTGCCCCCCCATTGACACAGCATTTTGGCGAGTAAACTCCATTTCCTAGGTTCGAGTAGTGAGTATACCCAACGCCCTGCCTACAGCTCTACAATACTAGATGACTGCGAATATTGACTGTTGCTTGTGTCCCTCTACAATATCCTATTCGCATTGAATCAACCCCCCTACTCCTACGCACTTGTACAGGGGCCGCTGCTCTCTTTTCCATGCGCTGGGACCATGCAAAACGGGGGATGCAGCCCACAAACCTCTTCCCAGATTCTAGGGGGCAGATGGGAACTGCAAGCAGCAAACAAAACAAAAGCACAAAAAAGGTGCGGCTGCTGATGTCAGTCAAATAGCTGCAAGACACGTGCACATGCCATCCGTTAGATCAAAGGGAAGTTGCCACGGCACTCAAACGCGCAAGACACAACTCTACATGTTTCCGTGTCGAAAAATAAAAGCAAATAAAACAAACATATTTTGTTAAAAAAAAAAAAAAACACACAACAACCAACAAAAAAACAAAAACAAAACATCATGATCCGATCTCCCCGCGTCCCTGCGTGGAGATTATTTTTCCAATAGGCTTCAAGTCAAGCCTCTTAGCCTCCCAGGTTGGACCCTTATGCCCGGAAAGGTTTCCGTGAAGGGTGTAACAAAAGGGTTCAAAAGAGTAGTGGGACCAACGTGCGAACCTTCAATTGTAGCTTGGAGTGTCTCCTCGCAAGAGCGCCGATCAAACAAACATCTCAGGTTCGGGGAGAAGCCGAGAACGCGTGTCTTGATCAGGGTGCTGAAAAGCTACATCCAAAATCCCGTGCCTTAAGAGGGATCCTCTAAATCAGCTGGTACAAATGCCGTCCAGCTGTCCCAAATGTAACCTTTCCGGGACCCTGAAGGATCAATGATGTCAAATCAAACTGCTTTATCGAAGGCCAGCATGAAATGCGCGGCGGATCTTGCCGGAAAGACCTGCTGAAGTTGCCGGAGTGGGCCAAAATGCTCCTTTCGAGTTGCAGTAGCCCGGCCAGAAGTGTTGCAGAAGGGTCGTTGGATATTGTGGGGGACAAGAATGGCCCAAGAGTCAGACAAGAATTGCCCAAAGGAGTGTTGCATGCAACAACACACACACAAAACATACACATTGATACAAGTAGATGACTCTTGGTAGCTACACCCTACATGTTGAAGGGAGTGTGGCTTCTAGCATGGCCATCGGCTACGATCTACGCTTAGACCTCTGGGTGCACCAGGCCGAGCCAGGCGTGGCTCCGCCTCTGGTTGCGGCACACAGCGCTCGGTAGATGGCAGGCGCCTGCCATGGGCAGTGGGGTGAAATCGGGGGCTACCTTGGGTCCTATTCAGGGCGCACCAAAAATGCGGTGGTTTGCGGTTGAAAACCAGGAAAGCATAAACAACTATGTGGCTGTGAGTCCAAACTAGGTACCCCAAATGGAACCCTGGTACATGGAAAGAAGGACTAAAACCTGCGGTCCCCTGGTGGTTGTATTTTGACCCATACCCATATCAGACTGTGGTGCAAATCTCGGAAATGTGGGGGACTGCAAATCCTGATCTTTATCGAGAGCAAGATCTCCAGGGAATGAGTTCAAGTCCAGGTTGATGGGGGATGGCCCAATTATATCGGGAGACTTTGGCTTGTTGCTTGGATAGCTCTTCCTAGGTTAGGTATCTTTTGTTTGAACCTCAGTTGCTTGTCCATGTTTGAACTCGTCGATACCCCAGGCCTTTTGGCGCATGCTCGGTGACAGGTAGGAGTTCCGCGAGGAACGAGCTAACCTCGGTGCTTGCGCTCTCGGGATCCGAGTCTTGGAACATTGAGTGAGTGATACCGAAATGCGGCATCCGCCATATTGCTCAGACCTTACGGGGACTCTCTTGGTTCTACTTGGAGTTCCATGAGTAATGACCCCATTCCCTGGGGTTTCCAAAGGCGGTTTCTTTTGCAGGTTTTCTGTGAAGGGAGGTTTTTTTTTTGCCAGGAGTTTTGTCCAAGCTCAGCTGATATCATTGAACAATTCGGGCGCACGTGATCAGGACCAAAGTGTGCAAAGACTTGACCTCCGTTCCCACAAAACAAGCGGAGGGAGTACCAAAGGACAGGCTGAAACACATAGATTCACCGGTGTCAAAATTCACGGCAGAAAACGTGCTTTCACGCTGGAAAACAGGCTTTCACGCCAATTTCACGGTATTTTCACGGTGATTTCACGCTACTTTTGCGTACATCACGGACCGCTATGTTCACACCAAAATTGGTGTGTCAAGACATGTTGGGGTGGAACAGGCTTTGTAGAATCTAAACGTGGCAACAGTATGAACAATCCATCAAATACCACGCCATGGCTCATTGCAGGCGCAAGAAACAGGCTTTAGCTGCAAAAAACAGGCGAGGTGTTAAAGGACGTTTTAAAAACAGTCATGGATGTCCAGGGCATTCTTTTAAGGGTCATGGAGACTCCAGGTATCAGAAAGTGGCGCAGCCCAATTTGACCTTAACACCTAATGTCCACTTCCAGCGACCAAAACCGAGTGCCTGACCCGTCGGGATCACGGGAGGTTGGCATCACGTGCAAAGCAATACGATCATTGAGCATTAAGTCCTGGCATGGCTCCGAAGCGAGAAAGACTCTTCAGGGGTGTGGAGGTTGCGACTTAAATGCTTGCCCCGTGAGCTTGCAGAGAGACAGAGAAAGACAGAGAGACGAACAAATAGATATGGGGGGGAAGGGAGACAAAAAAGAAGACAGAGATGGATATAGAGAAAGCGAGATAGAAAGCAAGAGTCAGGCAGAGATAGAGTGGGAGGGAGAGAGAGATGAAGAGAGAGAGAGAGAGAGAGAGAGAGCGAGAGAGAAAGAGAGAAAGAGAGAGAGAGAGAGAGAGAGAGGGAGAGAAGGACCAGAACCAAAGAGAGAAAGAGCAACACTGACAAAAAAGACAAAGCGAGACAAACAAGGACAGTGCGAGAGAGAGAGAGATAGTGAAAGAGAGAGCAGTACAGCTGCACAGTAAGACTCAGGATTCCGTAACTCCCTTCAGAAGTAGTGTCGACCCTTTCATCCAACCTTAGGTCCAGTCATTGACTTTCTTGGCCCTGGATTCACAACCCCCCCTTGTCATTCAGGGGTGTCCCTTTGTGGGGATTCCTGTCATCCAGCAATGCGTCACGTCAGCGTCTTTAGCGTCGCTACAGCTTTGCGACTCGCCCCTCCTCGAGCATGCGTGCAATGACCACACACTGCATCGCATCCTTCTGCCCGAAAATTGCCACATCAGGTTGAACAAGATTGAAGAACTTCAGACCTCAGACGATTCTGAAGGGGTGTGAGTTTTTCTGTGGGACCACGTGGGACCACCTTTGGTTGTCTTTGAAGGGAAAGGAACCTGAAGAGGCTCGACTGGTGGTGCATTGCATGCTGCTCACGACTCACGACAAAAACCAGCCCCCTCCCGCAGCGCAGAAAATTCACCGTAAGGTCCCGGCACACGGTTGCCACACCGGTGAAAAAATGTGGGCGATCTGCCGCCTGCATTGCAAGTTGCAGGCGGCAAATGGAATCGGCGAACATCTGATCCTCTCCATCTCTGCCTCGCTCTTGCCCTCCACGAAGCTTGGTACAACCTGCGGGGCCAAGACTCGTCGGCTATTGAACACCCACGCACATCCAATGACTCCACCCGGCAAATCATTCGATTTCAGGGCTTCATAAATGGTGGCAACATGACAGTAGGGTCCTTGACAAGCCTGGTCTGCTGGTACCCTCCAAACGGACCCTGAAAGAGGGTCCCTGGAAAACGGTCCAAGCCAGGAATTCCCCTTCCATGTCTAACTTTCGGAATGCAATTACTGTAACGTCTGACTGCTCATGGCTCCGCATAAACCTACTTTCCCAGCGAACTTGCTTGGTTGCTGTTGACCCCTCTGCCAACAGTTTAACTTGTCCAACAGAAAATCCGCCGCTTCTCAAAAAGTTTAAGTCCAATTATCAAACTAAATAGACATACAAATTGGACATAAGAGCTGATCACCTTGTGGACTACAAGTGGTTGCCAAATAGGAAAACCAGAGTTCAAAAGCTCGGTTTTGGAACGACTGCTGAGCTCCAAACCACTGTGCTTCCTGGAATCCCGCTTGGATACCTGGCCAATCTGCAGCGGGCACCATGCTAGCCAATCGTATCATTTCGAAAAATCGATGGCACTAAGTGGGGTTGTCGCGTGTTTGAGGGTAGTTAACCTGTTCAGGGTTGGTCTAAAAGGAATCCAAAGGCAAACCCCTCATGTTCTTCGTCCCCTGATGTTGAGACAAAGAAAACAACACCTTTACAGTAATAAGGACCACATCGAAAACCGTGCCCTCTTGTCTCAACCACACAAGCGGACACCTATGAATGCTGAGTGATATCCAAGCGGCAGATCCATTGAGCTTGGCGTGAACAGCGCCGTTGCCCCCCTCGCGCGCAGCTTCTGCAGGTCCTTTGCATGATGTACCGAACTCAAGATGGAAGCCAAATTCCCTGCTACACCGAAAGCATGACCGTGGCGCCTCTGAATGGAACAATTCTTGCCGCCAGTACCGTCTGCAAAGCAAGTAGCTAGTTGCTGCAAAGAGCATGTGTGAGGAAAGCAAGCCGGTTATTGGCATGGAAGCGGCCAACATCACCAGCTGTGGCTTGGCCAGGAAGCAGCTTTGTGGTTGTCCCGAAGGCCCTGAAGAAACGAGTACTTGGCTGGAATGCATGAACCACCCTAGGACTTTAAGGCGTGGGGAGGGGCAACCCACAACTCCCGCCCACATCCGCAACGGTCCTCTTCGAGGGTACGTGGGTATGTATCCAAATCCTGCCGCACTGATGAACGAGCATCTCGCTCACAGTGCCAAATGTTTATAGGGAAACCAACCCTGAAAAGATCAATTTCAGGCAACCACCCCCAAACGAAACTTTGGCAAGCTAACCAAAAGTTCATGTGATTCTTCAGATGGCTTAAAGGGAAACCACCCCCCCTAAACTATTCTTGTGAACCCCTGGACATGCTCACCTGGAGTCTCCATGATCCTAAAAAAATGGGGTCATCACCCACAATAATGGGGCCATTGACCAATTTTTAAAGGGTCATGAAGACTCCAGGCATGTTCAAAGGGAAGCCACGCCAAAGGTCATTTTGAGACCCCCTGGTTCTTGCCTCTCGAGTCGCTCCTCGTGTGCCGCAAACTGCGATGGGTTGACGAAGATGGAGACCAGCACCTGCGGACATGCTCGGCTCGTACTCTGCACACGAACATGGAGCCGAACCAAACAGAAACAAACAAAAACACATGTACATGTGTTTTGGAGAAACTCTCTGTTTGAGTTTGGGGTTAAACGCATGTACATGTGTTTTGGAGGAATCTCCGTTTGAGTTTGGGGTTCCATGCTAATCAGGGGAGTAGCGCTTGTTCTCCCTGGGCAGCGTAACAAAGGGATGGTGCGCTGAGATGACAATGCGGTGACTCAACTCGAGGCTTCAATGCGCTACCCATGAAAGAGGTCCCGCCCAACTTGACGCACCCCGCTGGCAAAGAAAAAAAACGGGGTCAACATGACGCAGCTGTCCAGCTCACTTTGGGACGATTTAATCAGCCAGGGCAACAAATAATATTCCGGGCCAAACCGCTTGAGCATCCGCTGAGGATGGCAGCACCTCAGAAAAGCTGATCTTTAAACCCAAGGGACACAAAATGTTGCTTCGACACCTCCTTCGGGTTGGTCAGGGATACTAACAAATACTAAAAGGAAGCCAAGCAGCCCTATCGGGACCCCTATGCTGAGTTGTCCTTTGTTTCCTTTAACAATCCCAACCAAAAGCCGGGATTCCAACCAAACAAGTTGGGACCCCTTACCGAAAGTTCCTCCGCCTCGTCCGCTTTTTCCAGCGCGGCATCCACAAGCTCCAAATGGCCCTCGTGCAGGTTGCCCATGGTGGGCACAAACCTTAGCGATCTCAGCGATCTCCGCGATCTCCGGATGAAGCTGGGTGCGACATCTCTGTGGTAAGGAAACCCACAAAACATACATGTCGCCCACAAGGTCTTGTTATGCTGTGTGATCGCGCAGGTTCTTGGTGTCTTGGGGTTTAGGTTTCCAATGCTTAGGGTTTAGGTTTAAGGTTTCTGGGTTTAGGTTTAGGGTTTTTAGGGTTTAGGTTTAGGGTTTTTAGGGTTTAGGTGTAGGGCGTTTAGGGTTTAGGTGTAGGGTTTTTAGGGTTTAGGTTTAGGGCGTTTAGGGTTTAGGTGTAGGGTTTTTAGGGTTTAGGCTGTCCAGTGCATCCGAGGCTGGCTTTTCTGGTTTAGGTTTAGGGTTGTGTTGATGATAGCATTATATAACCAGGAAAAGTCGCGCTCCATGAAGGGGGTATGAAGCATGGAGTTGGGGTGGGGCCCGAGGGGCTCGGAAGTGCGTTTTTGCTGCGCCTGCCACGCTTTTTGGAGGTCTTGGGGACCCGCTTCCGGGCGGTCGCGGGCAACACATACGTTTTGGCCGTAAGGAAACTGCCAAGCTGAAAGGCCATTAAGCTTTGCCGGTGAGTGAAAAAGGAAAGCAGACACACACACACACACACAGACAGAGTTCGCAGAAACAAAACAAGTTGTCAAAGATCCGACCAAATAGCAGCCGAGTCAGAAGCTGGCAGAAGGCACATCGGTGGCTCCACACCCAGAGCTCTGCATGAACTCAATAACTTTGGTGGGAGGTGGAACCCGGCCACGAGCGTTTCAACTGCTTCCTCATGTGTCAGACCGCTATATTCAGCCGCAAACTCCAAACTCCCTGGCTCCGGCGCATGTTCCGGCTGGTACTTGAGCGTTTTTGCGCTGGAGGCGTTGCCACATCGTTCAACCAGGTCTCAGCCTTGAGTCATTGAGACAACCCAAGCCACTTCATCCAAACTCACATAACAAACCCTCTCACAAGCTCAGTGACTCGCTAGCACGTGCCATGCTCAACTTCTAGATCGACATGGTTGCGCTACCGGGAGCCAGTATGAATGGCTAACATCCTTTTCTTGCGCTTCCTGACTCTACACCTCACCAAGAAAGCACAGCTCTTTCGCTCTGGCTTCTGTCAGTATGCGCTCTTTTGATCCTGTCGCACAATGAGAAGCCCTCCATCTCCCCAGAAAGCCAGGGAAACAGGGGGCGCCCTTCGGCGGTTGACTTTCCAATGAAACCTCGGATAACAACTAAAAAAACTGGGATGTTCTACCTAGCGTCCGGGTTCATGTTGAAGTGTTGACGAAGAACATCACCCAGGATAGCACATTTGATCTTGCCTTCGGACGAATCCCTCATCAATAGACCATGCCCTTCTTAGTTGGGGGAATCGCCCCTGATTAGTACGATCCTCCGGATTGGTTCTCCGACGTTAACACTAGTGTCAACCTCGGATTAAACAACCCATCTTATGTATTGATAATCAAGAGGTGTTGTTCTTCTCAAAGTGGTGATTTCCTACCAAAAGGGGGAACCAACAAGGGACCCCCCGTATTAATCAAACAAATTGGGGGACACCTCCGTATTCATCAACAATGGTTTATTCCGGTGTTCCCATTACCAGGTAACGGACTGCGTGAAACCGTCGCGTCAGATCCTGTGGCCCCCTGCGCCACACGGCGGCCCTGTTCCGTAGCACGACGTCGCCATTCCTCGGGACAAAGCTGATCCGAGGCCTCATGTTTTTGGAGTCCCAACTGGCTTCAATACTTTATCAAAGTCACCCGTTCAGTGGTGGGTTAAAGGAGGAAATGACCCCATTTTCTGACTTTGATAACCCCCAGTGACCCTTAAAAGATGGTTGGTCATTGCCCAAAATAATGGTTGGTCATTGACATGGAGACTCCAGGTACAGACATACTGTGGATGGACCAAAAAACAAACCTGCAAATGGAATGCATGAAACCCTGGAATTCTGGCAACCATTCAACTGGTGCAGGAGTTTCAGAGTCCATCCAACCAATGAAATGCCCACGAAAGGATTTGAGCTGAATCTACCTGAGCAGGGCCGCCCCAAACCCAGCGTTTTGATACCCATCGTTGTGTTGGATACCACTTGGGAGACAGTGGAAGCTGTGGCGCGCACAAAGAGTTCCTCCTTCGTGCACAGCTGCTGAAGCCTGAACGCCACCGGCTGAGCCGGAATTGGAGCCAGGCGAACCTTCGATCATGGTCAAGGTGTAAACTGAGTTGCTCCCAGCCCCCGAACGAACGCAAGGCGGTGATTGATCTTTTGTAGCCCAGTGATGCCATTTACCTATATAGTAGACCAAGGGCTTGCCACCCTTTAAACACCAAATAGACAATGGCTGGTTACCTGCTATACTCTATACTGGCAAGGATCCACTGGGCAGGTTGGATGAAAAACAAGCTTGTTTCCAACAAGTCTAAGTCTAAGGGACAATGTGGTCACACTGAAGGGCAAACATGCAAAGGAAAGGTCGCGCCCTGAGGACCTGCTATGGCAACCGCAACAGGTCCAGGTGTTTCGATCGGATGGAATGCGCCCCAAAAGACGGATGCTGCTCCCATGAATATTAGCAATCCAAAAGGAGAATGAAAAATCCAAAAGGAGATCAAGCATTGGACAAATTCTCTGAACAGGTTTTGAAGAAAAGCCTACGCCCCCTCACACATCATGCAAGACATATAATATAGTTCCCGATGATTGCCCTCAAGCATCACCCCAGCAAAGGGACTTGTTTGGGCCCCAAAGGGTGTTTAGGAAGCCCTCTATGATCCTGCATGATGAACGCGCCCAACTGGTGTGACAAAGCGTTAAAATCGCTGACCCCAAAAGCATTGCGACTCCCTTGGTGACGACTGATACACTGATGCATCTCATACACATGACTCACCGACACAAAAAATAACAATAAGAATAACAGCAACAGTAATAATAATAGACTTCAAGTTGAACCAACTGCGCTGCGCCGAAAAAGGCAACGACCAGAAGCCCCCAACAACTACTTGGGTTCATTGTTCAAGATCCCAAGTGTCCAACCAGCATCAGTTCGGCTGGGCGCCCGGCTCTGTCCTTGTGCCAGCGCCAGCTGCCTGCGCTGTGCTGTTTCTTAGTGCACCCCCCACCCCCTCGGTTTGTATTGGCTTTACAGGGAAGTCCAAGGGAAGTCCAAGGGAAGTCCAAGGGAAGTCCAAGAGAAGTCCAAGAGAAACCACCCAAGGGAGTTCATGTATGGAGCTCAGCTATGCATGGGGCCCACATAATTGTTTAGCGAGTTTAAGACACAGCGTATTCATGCAGGATGGTGCTGTGGTGAAGAACAATCCGATCAAAACTTAATTCAAAACAGTATAAATAAATCATGGTATTGATGCGCAAAGGAGCTATGACTTAAAATGACACTCTCCAGAACGTAGTAGTTCCGGCATGGCGAGAGCAACAACAGCATGGAATGACTACAATTCTGTAGCTCAGACGGACTACCCCGCAAAAAGCTGGGCCACCATGCAAACGCAAAGCAGTACCAATCGCCAACATGTGGGTTGCTGGCGTCTGCAGTAAGAACATTTGAAAGACCCTCTTATCCCGGGATGCCACTGAAATCCAACCCTGTTTCTAGCAGCCAGCAGTGGACAGGGGGCTTGCCCAAAAGGAAAGCTTTCGCAAAGCCCTTCAAGTGTCGTCTTCCATAATTACTCAATCGTTTCCCCAAGTACATGAACACCTAGAGATCACACCCGCCAACGGTACCAGCCAAAGCCGATAGGGCTATACCCGAAACTGATACCCACCGACCCTCAAAACTGAAAACCGAACGCGACCAAGCGATGTCCCGGCAGTACTCACCTGGTGTCATTCTGGACGAAAAAACCACGAGATGGAATCTCCGTGACCCTTGAAAAATGGTTGGTCATTACCCAAAATAATGGTTGGTCATTGACCAATTGTTATTTCGGGGCATGGAGACTCCAGGTGGTGTCATTCTGGACAAAAAAACAACGAGGTGGGTGTTCTCCATTTGGTTTCTCTTGTTTTCCAAAAAAGGCGCACAAGCCCAGTGGCTCACGGAAACTAGCTCATTAATGTTTCTTTTGTTTCGATGATTTTCAAGGGACACCCATCCCTAAAAAACACTGCCTAAAGTCTCCATGACCCTTAAAAAATGGGTCAATGACCAACCATTATTTTGGGTAATGAGGTGTGTTTCTGGTTGAACCTGAGGCCCAACGAAGTGAAAAGGCCCGTGCTCTCGGATCCTTCCCATTCCAACTCGCCTGGGAAATGGCTCGTTTGGCCAAGCGGGCGCCAGCGTGCCTAGGGCGCGTTTTTCGCTCCGCGGTCGGGCCGAGGATGTTGTTTTTTTTTTTTGCCAGATTGTCGTGGACTTCTTGCTGAGAAATGGCCGTGGCTCAAAAAGTGGAACCCATTTTTGGGCCCCTTGGATGGAAACAAAGACCAAAACCTGCGTAACCCCCGCCCTTAAATTTTGAGCCACACCTAAATGGGTGTATCTTAAAATAGGGGGTTCCCCGAAAAATGATGAAGCAAGCTCCTTTCCATGTCCCTTGGAAACTCCAAACAACATTTCGGGCACCCTTTGAGCCGTGGGATTGATCACTATTCCCAATGGTCTTAAAGCTGGGGAATCCGAAAAATATGGAACTTTTAACTACAAAGTGCGGTCCATCCGCAATGGGTTTCTCTTTTTGTTGGGGTTGGTTTCCTCTGGAATTGGAAGCACCATTAAGGTTGTTGGTGGACCTGGACACGGATCCCCATAGAAAGGGTGTCCATCATTTCGGATCCCCGATTGAAATACTCCAATGTCAGAAAACGTCAAGTGGTAGAACTCCTCTTGGTTGAAAGGCAAACCTTTTCAATCCGCCAGGGTGGGTTTCTCTGAGACCATGGCACCGGCACCAGTCGCCCTTGCAGAAGTTCAAAGCCAAAAGTGCCTGACTGAAAGTTCAGCAGCAGGTGATCAGTCTACACAGTCTCAGATGTATTGCCCTCTACTTTTGTTGCAGTATTCCGCTTTAAGGCACATCTCGACTGATTTAAACATCAGTCTCCCACGGTTCAGATGTGCGCGCTCTGCGCAAATGAATCAAATAATTCCTACGATCGATGCCTTCGAACTGATCGAGGTGTGCTACTTGTTGCGTCACATCATTCACTGCTCCCGCCTTGCATGCGAGACGGTAAGGATACCTTGGTCACACAATCTGTGGGCTATTCTGCTGCAAAACTGCGCTTGTCAAGGCGACTGGCACGAACATCAGCAGCGGCAGCAATCACTTTTTGCTTGCAGAGCTTGATGGGAAAAACAGACACCCAAAACACCCGCCAGACCCCCAAAACACCGAAACCATCCCGAAAAGCACTCCTGTCCACAGAAACACCGAAACAGGCGCTAAAAACACCCTACCCGAGCTTTGCGCATAAATTTTGGGACAAGATCCCCGCCGCGGTCACGGCAGGAATCGAACCACAGAGGCTCATGCGTTCAGAGCCACCAGGCACCGAAAACACCGTCCGGCGCCCAAAACACCCGCCAACCACCCGCCAGGCGCCAAAAACACCCGCCCGACGGCAAACAGCCCCAGGCGCCCAAAACACCGACCAGACACCAAAAACACCGGGAAGATAAAAACAGACACCCAAAACACCCGCCAGACCCCCAAAACACCGAAACCATCCCGAAAAGCACTCCTGTCCACAGAAACACCGAAACAGGCGCTAAAAACACCCTACCCGAGCTTGATACCCTCCCAGTGATTAACATGGAACCTGATAGGGGGGGTCCTGCAAGACCATTTTCCTTTTAAAGGGACCCCCGAACGTCAGGTTCCATGTAAACAAAAAGGTGGGGGCTCGCCTTTCTAAGTTCCACACCCCGTTTGGTCCATGGCCATTGACAGCTGGCGCTTCCGTAGCTGTTTCCTCGCCATGCAAACAGCATCAAGTTCAAACAAACGCAGTGGGATGTGGTCCATGACCATGCAGTCTAAAACCCCTAGGATGCAGTATATACCTGTAGTCTCCTTCTGACCCTTAAAAAATGGGGTCATTACCCAAAATAATGGGGTCATTGACCCATGTTTAAAGGGTCATGGAGACTCCAAACGCATAACATATGGTCCAAATCTAAGGGATGCAAGCATCGGCGCTTGCAGATATTCTGCAATGCGATTTGAACCCTGTGATGTTACCACTCACCTTATGGGTGTGTAGTGGGTACTCTCTTTTCACCTTGGTGTAGAGGAACCACATGGATCACCATCCCCCCCCGGTACCGGACCTTCATAGGTGACCTCGTTCTTACCGGGAATTTCGCGCCAAGTTCCCGCGGCGACACGTGCCAGTGTCCTGAACAGCCCGCTTCGCCAACTGCACCTGCAATCCGGGAGCTGCGGAACTCACGGTCAATTCTGAGATGGTTCCCACCGTCACACACTCTCTCGACGAGCAGGTGGAAGAATCCAAGATGGGTTGGTTCCACTGCCCCCCAAAACACACCCCAGTATGTGCCTATACAATGGCTGTACTGGGTTTCGAGCATGGGTTTTGAACATGCAGCCAAGACCTGAACAATGGTGTTCTTTTGGCAAAATAAATGGCGCTGGCAAATGGAATAACACCCATCTACACCAGTGGAACCCATCCAAACTAACCTAAAAAGGACTACTGTGGATGGACAAAATCCATTTCACACCACTTTGAAGCTATGGCTGAAACCATTCTTTGTTGGATTTTTGCGGAGAAACATCAAATCGAAACCAGGGCTTCTGAGTTTGGTTTTTGTGTTTTATGAATTTCAATTTCAACCATCCACTGCTAGGTCCTCCACTAGACAGGTTAGAATAAGGGTACCCTTGTTTCTGTAGTCTATTTTAGTAGGGGAACCCTCCCCCAAAAAAGAAACGGTAAAAGGGCACTACTGGGGGACCTAGACTGGGCCTATGGACCTGAATTCAATCCCCGCCTCCGGCAGAAGCTCTCGGAGCTTCTCCAGCTCCTACCGACAACCACGGAGCCAGCTACACGAGGCGAGAATCGACTCCAATGCATGGACTCGCCCATGTCTAGATATTCAGAATACAATGTCATTTTCTACACTTTAAGACATGTACTAAACAGGTTCATGATATATATATATATATGTACACATGTGTGTATATATATTTATATATATACAATGTGCATATGCATGTGGAACCTGTACTCCTATTTGTAAATTATTGTACACGTGTACGCATAAGAGATTCCACATGATTTGTGAACTATTTTGAAATCCAATTGTTCACCAACGGAACATTGACAACATCCTTCTGCAAGCCAGGTTGCACAACCCCCTTTGTGAGCTTGACTCATGTCAAAAAAAGTGATCGCCGGGTTTGGGCATGAAGTGCGACTGTCATTTTGCTGGCAATATCTGTTGGCATCAATCATGGAATGCCGCTACAGAAAAAAAAAACAAAAAAAAACGAGTCAGGGATGTTGCCAATGTCGTGTAGAATTGCCTGCAGCAAAATTATTGAGTTTCAACTAACGCCGAATTTGACACTCAACCATGTACTCTGCTCGGAGGCTTTGCACAAGGACATGGCAGTTTCTTGGTCCGAGTTCCTCTTCCGGCATTCGCCGAGAATACATCTCGCCAGGAAATTGGCCTGACAGGCTGGAAGATTGAATTACGCTCCACTCATCCACCGAGCAAAGATTGATTTGGGACATTCCTTATATGAGTGTAAATTTCAAATGGGGGCCCTTTGGTGGACATCATCTAGGTTGGGATCTGTGTGCACCGACAACTGAGGTGGCTCCGTATTTTAAACCAAACATGGCAATATGGAACCTTTAAATGATTCACCTCATCAATGATGTTTCTCTCGGAGACCATGCAGTGAGGCTCGAGCCACTGCGGACCTCCTCCACATAATTTGCATAAGCCTTAGATGCCAAGCTGACCAACTCCACTCCGGAAGCCTTGCAAGAGCAAACACATGCAGTAAGGCTGTACACTGGAATGGCTAAGGATTGGGAAAGTTTTGGATCACTGTTCGACGTAACTTATAGTATAATAATATATATATACACATACAATCGATATATGAGCATCTCTCGCCAATTCATATACGCAGGCAAGCGCAGCTTGGCGCCCAACCAACGTCGAGGCTTTGCCAACATCGGCGAACATCTTGGCAAAGGAGGGCGGGCCTGGGCGTAGCAAATGGTTCTGACGCCCCAAAAAACTGCCGCGATGTCATTCTTTCCCAAAGTTGGTCCGTTTGAGAGAACCCCCCAAAAAAACTAAGGGCTTTCCCTTTGCCAAAAAGGGCACCCTCAAGAAAAAGTCACACGCGAATAGCCAAACGTGACCCAGAGGCTTCATGGGATACACCACCACCCAGCCACTATACTAGACAAAGGGTTGTACTCCGTTTTCCACTGAGGGTAATGGTTTAGGGGTCCTGGAAAGCATCAAGAGGCACATTGAGACTCAGCACTTCCGAATAAAAAGCATGCGCCCCGCACAAAATTACGAAAACATTCCCAAAAAGGGCAAAAGGGGTTGTCTTAAGCTCTGGTGTTGTGGCAATTCGGGTGGGCCCCACATGCACTCCCCAACCTAAGCACAGACTACCAATAGATTTTGTTGTTGCTCATAGACATTTCTACTTCAGCAAAGTTGTCATCACCCCAAAGGAATTCACTTAAAGTCGGCCAAGGTTTGGCTTAAACCAAGAGGACAAGCATTGACAAGCATAGTTTGGCCAGGAGATGTCTGACTCACCTGATCTCGGCCTTTGGGGTTCGGCAAGTGACCCATTTTTCAAACCTTCCCATGGTGACGGGCCCATCCATTTCGGAAGGTAGGACAAGTGTTTCGCATTTGTCATACGGTTTCCAGTGTTGCAATACATTCGCCTCCCCCAAATCCATCTTTCAGTCGGTGGGGATACGTGGACTCCAATGCTGATTCAGAACCAAGAGGAGCCATGGCAAGGTTCTGGCCCGAAATGGCTCCAATTGTAACTATTCGCCACTAGAAACTCTTCGGGTGCAAAGACTCCCCTTGCGAGTATCATGTCTGACTGTCTGAGCTACGGACGGCCGTGCATGCCCAACATGTCGTCGCACACTAGGACCTCTCGCAGCTTGCCAAGCATCCCAATAGCCCTGCAACTTCCCTGGAGGACCCCCCCAATCCCAACATTTGCGGACAGACCGCTGTCGCTGCGCGACAAGTTGTTGGCTTTTGATCACGAGTCTGGCACCAAGCGAATTAGACAAGAACATATTGAGCCGAATCCTCCTGAGATTCGCTCCAGCTTGGATACAACCAACACGCCATTGTGTCGGTTCTATTTATCCTCTCCCATTCCATGGTGGGCAAGTCCTCTTTGGCACCCTCTGTCGGAGGTTGCGTCGCAAAGAAAAGCGGGGACACCGACGCACAGAAACAAGCCATATGTTGCAAGGGTCTTCCTATTAGAGTTGATCCAGACATGGCACAATGTCGGAAATGCCGCCCCTGACGGGAAACTGAAGTAACCTTTGCGGGGGGTGATCATCTTTTAGAACCCGGGCACTCAGCCATCGAGAAAAATGGGCCCCTGCTGTTGGTTCGAAAGGCACACCTGGGCAGTCGGAAGTCGTAGACCTTCCTCCAGCCAGAGGGCAAAGACTTCGCAGGTCTGGGTCTTTTCAATGAGCTCGAAGAGAGCAACGTTGGCTCCATTTGAAGGCTGAACTGGAGCTAACATCCAACTCATGGAGTGAGTCGTCACAAAAGGCTCCTCTCAAGCTGCGGGCAAACAACATCCCCAGTCCATTCCCCACGGAACCATCATTTTTTTAACCCTCCACATTATTTTTTTGACCCCCCTCCTTTTTCCTGACCCCCCCTCCTTTTTTTTTGACCCCCCCTTCCTTTTTTTTGACCCCCCCTTCCTTTTTTTTGACCCCCCTCGCCCGTCCTTCGTTTTTAGAAGAAGAACCCTTCGCATGTTTCCGAGAAAGGGCGTCATCATTGTTCCGGGCTCACGTTTGCAACCGAAAGGCAGCCCCCCCCCATGATGTTCGTTCCGGGCTCACGTCTGCAACCGAAAGCTGGTACACTGACTAGTCTCCAATCTAAACACTCAGCCTGAACAGGTTTCGCAAAATCTTACGCGGCTGCCTAGAAGGAATGCCCTCTCAGACCCTTGTAGCTGTTCCGCCTGGGTTGAGACAACGAGGCGAGGCGGTTGCCGGAGGCTTTAAACGAACCAATCTTCAAAAGCCTTGGATAGGTAGATCAGTAGATAGCATGTTTCCGAGAAAAAAGGGCGTCATCATTGTTCCGGGCTCACGTCTGCAACCGAAAGCTGGTACACTGACTAGTCTCCAATCTAAACACTCAGCCTGAACAGGTTTCGCAAAATCTTACGCGGCTGCCTAGAAGGAATGCCCTCTCAGACCCTTGTAGCTGTTCCGCCTGGGTTGAGACAACGAGGCGAGGCGGTTGCCGGAGGCTTTAAACGAACCAATCTTCAAAAGCCTTGGATAGGTAGATCAGTAGATAGAGAGAGAGAAACAAGAGATAGATAGATAGATAGATAGATAGATAGGCAGATCGATCGATAGATAGATAGATAGATAGATAGATTGATAGATAGATAGATAGAGAGGTAGATAGATAGATCGAAAGGTGGGTAAATAGATTTACAAAAAAGATAGAGAGAGAGAGAGAGAGAGAGAGAGAGAGACAGAGAGAGAGAGCGATAGATAGATAAGTAGATAGATAGGTAGCAAAAAAATGATATATAAGATAGATACATAGATAGATAGATAGATAGGTAGGTAGGTAGATAGATAGATAGATCGATAGATAGATTGATTGATTGATAGACAGATAGATAGATAGAGAGAGAGGTAGATAGATAGATCGAAAGGTGGATAAATTGATTTACAAAAAAGAAAGAGAGAGAGAGAGAGAGAGAGAGAGAGAGAGAGAGAGAGCGATAGATAGATAAGTGGATAGATAGGTAGCAAAAAAGATAGATATATAAGATAGATATATAAGATAGATAGATAGATAGATAGATAGATAGATAGATAGATAGATAGATAGATAGATAGATAGATAAATAGCTATATAGATAGATAGAAAGATAGGTAGATAGATTAGATAGATAGATCGATAGATAGGTATATACATAAATAGATAGATATAGATATGTATATATATATATAATGATATATGGAAACGTAGATGTATATATATATATATAGAAAGATAGATAAAGAGATAGATAGATAGATAGATAGATAGATAGATAAAAAGAGAAAGATAAATGGAGAGATTAGATAGATAGATAGATAGATAGATAGATCGATCGATACATAGGTGTATACATAAGTAGATAGATACAGATATGTGTATATACATATATAATGAAATATGGAAACGTATATATAAATATATATAGATAGATCGATAGACAGGTAGATAGCTAGATAGATAGGTTAGATTAGATTAGATTAGATAGATACATTAGATTAGATAGACAGACATTATAGATAGCCCCCCGATGATGTTCGAAGAAGTGATGATTCAAGAAGCCATGACTCAAGAAAGGGTGCTTCATTCCCTGTAAACATTCTAAAAACCAGCGGGGGGGTTGGGGGGGGCGGCAGCCCCCCCCATGATGTTCGAAGAGGTGATGATTCAAGAAGCGATAATTCAAGAAAGTGTGCTTCAATCCTTTAAACATTCTAAAAGCCAGCGGGGGGGTTGGGGGGGGGCCAATGATGTTCGAAGAAGTGATGATTAACCCCCCCCATGATGGGGGGGCCAAGCGGGGGTTTGGGGGGGGGCAGCCCCCCCATGATGTTCGAAGAAGTGATGATTCAAGAAGCCATGACTCAAGAAAGGGTGCTTTAACCCCTGTAAACATTCCAAAAACAAGCGGGACGGTTGGGGGGGGGTGAGTCCCCCCTATGATGTTCGAAGAAGTGATGATTCAAGCAGCGATGATTCCAGAAAGGGCGCTTTAATCCCTGTAAACATTCTAAAGACCAGGCAGCCCCCCCATGATGTTCGAAGAAGTCATGATTCAAGAAGCGATGCATGGGTTTCAACTTCAGCAGCGATCAAAGTTGCGTACACTCGCGCCACGCTAGCGGCACTTATTGTAGACGGGACCTCCCAGAAGTGAGCAGCGAGATTTTTCCGGTGTTTTGCCATATGGATTTCGGGTCCTCTTGGCCAGGGCCCGTGTGGGACAAGCAAATCTACCCATCCTTGGCGGAGGAAACTGAAAAACAGACAGAGGCAGCCCCCAACCCCGAACCTCCCTTTTTGACCAAGTTCCACAAAGTAAGCAGGCCCCAACGCCAGTCAGGGCCCCGAAACCTTCAGCTGAACTCAGCCCAGAGACTGCGGGACGGGCAGCACGCATCCCTTCTCTCCCACCCTGCGCAGGAGAGCGGCCCAAAGAGAGCTGGCCGCCCATTCGCATCAAGTCTTTGGTGGAAGACCTCGCCAAACAGTGCTGTGAAGAACGGCGTGGAAATTAGGTAGACAATGTTAGACAGGGTATTAAACCACAAAAACTTCACGGAAACTTCACAAGGAGCTCCGCAGGAAACTTCGCAGTGAACTTCACGGGAAACTTCGCCCAAACACTTCACCAGACACTTCGCCGGAAACTTGGCCGGGAAAGCCGCCGGAATTTTCGCCGGGCGAATCACGCAACGCCACCCCCGGAGCGCTCAGAAAGCTACATGACCAGCTTGCCGAAGCTACTCAAGGCACCCAGGCCCTCCTGCCTTCTAAAAACCAGCGGGGGGGTTGGGGGGGCGGCAGCCGCCCCATGATTTCGAAGCGGGATGATTCAAGAAGCGATAATTCAAGAAAGTTTGCTTCATCCTTTAAACATCAAAAGCCAGCGGGGGGGTGGGGGGGGCGGCAGCCCCCCCATGATGTTCGAAGAAGTGATGATTCAAGAAGCCATGACTCAAGAAAGGGTGCTTTAACCCCTGTAAACATTCCAAAAACAAGCGGGACGGTTGGGGGGGGGTGAGTCCCACTTCCGGGGGTACCTTCCACCGATCCTTTTTACCAGGGACATCCATTCTCGATCCATCCAATACTGACATATTGGACTCTCTCCGGAATAGATCCAGGGACCACATAAAGACTCTCTACTACCACAAGGTACCGGTTCCTACGGGATAAGCAAACGGTCCGCAATGGTACCTTTCGCTGTCACTCAGGCAATGTGTTGTCTGAGTCTGTACACATGACAACAGGGCCTTGAGCCATAAATGTTGCGTGGAGATCAAGGTGTAAAACAAACACAGGGGGGGGGGCGGTCGCCCCCCCTATGATGTTCGAATAAGTGATGATTCAAGCAGCGATGATTCCAGAAAGGCCGCCTTAACCC